CCCAGATGTGCCAACATGACTCTCTTAATAAATTGGAACTTTGAGCAATACTGTGCCTTGGACTCTGATTTACTTTTGGGTGCTATTTGGAACCCTGACAGAGGATTTCCTTGGCCATAAGAGTTATGAAATGGTGGAACATCCCGATTCCTGGAATCATAGTGCTCCCTCCCCAGGGGTTTTCAAACCAAGGCTGGACAACAATTTGCCTAGGAATTGGTCTAAAATTCTTGTTCTGACCAGAGGTTGAACTAGAAGACCCCCAAAAGTCCTTTCTGACCTCACCATTTAATCATTCTATGACTGTTCAACTCAAGATACATTACCGATGTAGTATAGGAGAGTCAGTCTGGTGTAGTGATGAAGGTGCTGGCCTAGAAACCAAGAGATAGTGAATTCTAGTCCCCCTTAGGCTTGAAAGCTAGTCAAGTGACTTTGGGCCACTCTCTCCCCCTCTCAGTCAAACTCACTTCACAGGTTATTGATTAGGGAAAATAGGTGATGGATTATTAGGTAGGCCCACCGTCATGAGTTAAAGTAAAGTAAAGGTTCCCCTCACACATATGTGCTCATTCCCGATTCTAGGGGGAGGTGCTCATCTCCTTTTCAAAGCCAAAGATCCAGCGCTGTGCGAACACATCTCTGTAGTCATGTGGCCAGCATGACTAAATGCTGAAGGCGCACTGAACACTGTTACCTTCCCACCAAAGGTGGTTTCTATTTTTCTACTTGCATTTTTACATGCTTTTGAACCGCTAGGTTGGCAGAAGCTGGGACAAGTAACGGGAGCTCACTCCATTACGCAGCGCTAGGGATTAGAATCGCTGAACTGCCAGCCTTTCTGATCAACAAGCTCAGCATCTTAGCCACTGAGCCACCACGTCCCTTTGCCCTGAGTTACTTATAAAGTAATAAAGGAGGGACAAAATGAATAAATAATTCATTGAGAAGTAGAAATTAGTTTGAGAAAGAAAAGTGAGAAAGGCAATAGTTGAAATACGAAAAGAATAGAATAGAATAGAATTCTTTATTGGCCAAGTGTGATTTGACACCCAAAGAATTTGTCTTTGGTGCATATGCTCTCAGTGTACATAAAAAAATACATTCATCGAGAATAAAAAGATACAACACTTAGTGATAGTCAAGGTTATTAATAAGTTATCAAATTGTACTAGTAAATAAATAAAATATAAATTGAAAGATACAAGCAACATGGTTATAATCATAAGTGGGAGGAGATACAGGTAATAGGAAGGATGAGAAGAATAACAGTAATACAGTCTTAGTAAATAATTTGACAGTGTTGTGGGAATTAGTTGTTTTAACAGAGTGATGGCATTCGGGCGGGGAAACTGTCCTTGTTTCTAGATGTTCTGGTGTGCAGTGCCCTATAGAGTCGTTTTGAGGGCAGAAGTTGAAACAATTTATGTCCAGGATGTGAGGGGTCTGTAGATACTTTCACACCCCTCTTTTTGACTCTTGTAGTATACAGGTCCTCAATGGAAGGCAGATTGGTAGCAATTGTTTTTTTCTGCAGTTCTAATTATTTGTTGAAGTCTGTATCTGTCTTGTTTGGTTGCAGAGCCAAACCAGAAAGTTATGGAGGTGCAAATGACAGACTCAATAATTCCTCTGTAGAACTAAATCAGTAGCTTTTTGGGCCAATTGAGCTTTCTGAGTTGGTCGCAGAAAGAACATTGTTGTGCTTTTTTGATGACATTTTTGATGTCTTGAGATATGATAGAACCTAGAAACTTGAAGGTATGTATGGATGTATTTATTTATTAGTGGTCCCTCACCTTTATTTAAGTCAAGACAGAGGATGTAATCTTTCCAACAACAGCCCTGAGAGGTGGGTTGGCCTGGGGGAGAGAAGCCAACATAGAAACATTCTAAGGGATGACTAGAACTCACTGTCTCCTGTCCCTAATCCTGCACCTTAATAATTTCCATAAAATAATATCTTAAATGTCTACAAAAATGTCTGCAAAGAAAAATACTGTACACCCAGGATAGGGTATCATTTAAAATGGTTCATATAGAGAAATTAAAAACAACATATAAATATTAAAATGTTTATAATGAAATATTAAAAGTACTCCAGTTTCCCCAAAATAAATGTTACTTACACTTGGTTTTCCTTTTGGGCAATTTCTTTCTGAAGACTTTCAGATTTATTCATATAATCTTGTTTAACTTTCTTGTCCTCACTGTCTGCTTCCATGTGAGCCTTCTCTGCTTGCTGCAATCTGGTGTAATTCAAATCAACTTTGGGTAAAACTGAAGCTAGAATTTGGATGTAAAGGATGAAGACAAATAAAAGGAAAAAAATGGGGAAATAGAACATTTCTAAATGAAAACAAAGTTTGGGGATAAACTCACTAACTCAAATGAGAGACGCAGACAATGCCTACAAATTCAAATTATGCATCTCACTATCACCACAAAACTTCTGTAAATTTCTCCATTTTTATTTTATTTGGGATCCATGATAAACAGGCGCCATCATGAGCGAGTGATACACATTTTAGGTTTGATACATACAGAGTGCTGACTATTTAAGCTCTTTTATCTATATGATTTCTTTTTTGAAAAGGAAAAACCAAACTTCAAATAGCTCTGCCAACTGGTTTCACAAAAGAAAGAAAGGACACAGGGACATCCTCACTTCATCTGCAGTGAAAAGAACCATAATGGTGGCCCTGTCCATGTGGTCGCAGCCACTATCTTAACTTTTTTTTTACTTTTGTCTCCTGATTATTTAACTTAGGACACAAATAGTATATTTGAGGCTCAATACAATACATGCCAAGGAAAATTGCTCACTGTCTAATACAGCATTTCTCAACCTTGGCAAGATAAAGATGAGTGGACTTCAATCCCCAGAATTCCTCAGCCACAATTCCTTGCAGGGGAATTCTGGGAATTGAATCCCATCTTCAGGTTTTGTATTTGTATTTGTATTTGTATTTTATTAAATTTATATGCCGCCCTTTTCCCTGGGGGGACTCAGGGCGGCTTACAACTTAAAA